TGGGCGGGGCCGAAGGATGAGTGCTGGGGTCCAAAGAGGTCAGAAGAGTTAGAGCTCGAGGAAGGAGTTAGAGCATTTCAGGTAGGATCTTAGGACATTTCTGTGCCACCGTAAATGGAAAAAACTTAAAAAAAAAACCCCAAAACCATAATCTTGGAGAACATTTGCTCACCTAAAAATGTCTAGTAGAAGTGTTTGATTTGAATTTCTTCCTTCTTTTCTTCCCTCGTCCGCCTCTGCAATCCACAGTTGCTTGGGCTCCTACATGTTGGACTCTGATAGGCACCGAGAATGAGGGAATAGGTGGGCACCGTGGTTCACGCCTGTAAACCCAGTACTTTGGGAGGTGGAGGCGAGAGGATTGCCTGAATCCACGGGTTCGAGACCTCATTTCTACAATAAATAAAAAAATTAGCTGGGCGTGGTGGCGCACGCCTGTAGTTCCAGCTACTTGGAAGGCTGAAGCAGAAGAATGGCCTGAGCCCAGCAGATCAAGGCTGCGGTGGCCGTGCCCTGCAGCCTGGGCGACAGAGTGAGACTGCAACTCCAAAAAAAAAAAAAAAAAAAAAAAATGAAATAAAGCTTTTCCTGCCCTCAAGGAAATCTTCAACACTTAACAACTACAATATAATTTTGTGTGTTAGTACAATATATAATGGTCTCTGGAAGGAAAAACTTCAGTGTGTGGTGGGGAAAAAATCAACTCATTTCTCTGACAAGCAAATGATGTACAGGGCTAGGAATTTGGTTTGATGCAACCAAGCAGAACAACCTAAACTACTTGATACAATTTGCATTTTTAAAATTCTGTGTTTGTTTTTAATGATTTGAAGCTACAAGGCGTTTCTAGTGAAGCCAATTTTATTCTTCCTAAGGTTTGGGTATAATGCCATAGGGCACAGCCACTGGGTAACTTGTACCTCACAACCCTAATGATACAGATATGTACACGTGAACATAGAGAGACCCAATACAAACTCTTGTTGGAATGATTATATAAAGTCTTTTATTTATGACCCACTAAACAAACTGAGAAACTGAGTTACTTTATTACAATTGCCATATAGTCATAGGGGTTACTAACACAGACTCTGGAGCCAGATTACTTATTTTCGAATCCAGGATTCACCCCTTGCTAATTTTGTGTCATCTTGGGCAAGTTACTGAATCCCTCTCTGCTTCCATTTTCCATGTGTGTAAAATGAGGATATCAATAGTGTTCAATAACTATTTTTTGCTGTCATTTAGAAATAGCAAATAGGTTTTAAATCAAAAGAAAAGCCTCCAAATATTAACAGCTACCTAGATTGTTATGTTATTTTACTTATTTGTTTCTTGTTAGTTTTGCTACCTGACAATTTGAAATACAAATGCCAAAATGATGCATTTCTGGAAAAAGTCTCAAGGAGGAATTGGGCAAATTCTGGAGTTCCCATCTCTTCTCCAGCTTATACTCCTACCTGTGTGATTTCTAAGTTTATATTATGTGGAGAGCTCCTGATTTATATGTTTAACCATACTTTTCCTATGCAATCCATTCTTATTTTTAACTTTGAACCCATTTGAATGTCTCAAACTTAATATGTCCAAGATAGGACCTGGACTCCTGAACCTGATTGTCCCCTACACTTCCCTGGCTCTGTAAATGGAACCGCCAATCACCCTGTAACTAAAACCAGAAACACGGTCTTCCCATTCCCATTCTCTCTCTCTTATCCATTAGTAAATCCTTAAAAATATCTTAAATTTATTCACTTCTTTCTATCTTCACTACTCACTACACTCCTACCCCATATCCGCCCACCCACTGTGATCTCTGTCTGCACTACTGTGATAGCCTCCCAGCTGGTATCCCATTTTCACTCTTATCCTTTCCTAGATAATTCCCCACATTGAGTGTTACTCTTTTAAAACACAACTCAATTATACACTCCTTGTCTAAGACCTTCCAGTGGCTTTGTACTGCAGGTAGAATAAAATTCTAATTATTTTCTGTGGCTTTCAGGGCCTTCTGTGCTCTGACACTTAACAGTATCTCCTATCTCATTGTACTCCTTCCTGCCAGCATTGTTTCAAAATGTGTCTTCTCTCAGTTTCAGGAAAGACCAATCTCATTCCACCCTAAGGTCTTTACACTTCTTGTTTTCTGCCTGGAATGTTCTTCTAATGCTTGCTCATTCCTTCTGACCCTTGATGGCTCAATGCAAATGTGACCTCTTCAAAGCGACTTCCCAGAACATCCACTTTAAACAGCTTCCCCAATTAGTTCTATCCTATGGGCTAGTTTTTCCCCTTTATAGCACTTATCACAAACATTTTTTTTTTGAGTTGGAGTCTCACTCTGTCACCCAGACTGGAGGGCAGTGGCCGCTCCCGGCCACCGCAGCCTCGACTCGCTGGGCTCTGGCGATCCTTCCACCTCAGCCTTCTGAGTAGCCGGAATTACAGGCGTGCGCTACTCCGCCCGGCTGATTTTTTGATTTTTATTGTAGAGATGAGGTCTCGCTGCCCAAGTGGGTCTTGAACCCGCGGGCTCAGGCAATCCACTCACCTCAGCCTCCCAAAGGCGCGGGATTACAGGCTGAGCCACCGAGCCTGGCTTATCACAAACATTTTAATTGTCTTTTTTGTTTTCCTATTTTGATAGATATTCATGGTATTTAACAAATATTTCCTTTTGTCTACCACTTGGAACACAAGAGGAGAGAATTGCTCTTCCTGTCCTCCTGAGAGTTGGGTAATGTCATGTAACTAATTTTGGCCTATTAGTTATGAGCAGAAGTTATATGAGTCACTTCCACACTTAAGAAAGCAAGACCCTTAGAACTCTTTTTTCCCCCTCTGCCACAGCAATCTGCAATATTAAAAATAGTGGCCACATAGTCAGTGTGGGTCCCTGAGTGACTTTAATGAGCAGAGCTCCCCTAACCATTCCATAATGAATATGTAGTATGAGTAAGTATTACACTTTTATTGTTTCAAGCCACTGAGATTTTGATATTTATTACTGGAGGAACACTGAACCAATCTTGACTAATACCAAAATTATTGCCAGAATGGACATGTTACTAGAATAAAAACTTTAAATAAATGGCATTGGTTCTGAGACTAGGTAGTACACAACAAAGAAAGAGGTATTGTAGAATCCATGGAGATGGTGATTCATAGCCACAGGAGTGAAACAGTTGGCAAAATTCCTGTGATGATATGGTGAAACACGGAAGGCAGGAGATATACCCTAGAAATGTGTGCTATGGCTGGGTGTGGTAGCTCATACCTATAATCCCAGCTGAGGTGAGAGGATTGCCTGAGCCCACAGGTTTGAGACCAGCCTGGGCAACTTGGTAAGACCTCATGTCTACAATAAATTAAAAAGTTAGCCGGGCATGGTGGTGTGTGCCTGTAGTTCCAGCTACTTGGAAGGCTGAGGTGGAAAGATCGCCAGAGCCCAGCAGGTCGAGGCTACAGTGGCCAGGAGCAGTCACTGGACTCCAGTATGGGCAATAGAGTGAGACTCCAACTCAAAAACAAACAAACAAACAAACAAACAAAAAAACTCAACCTTGTGGCAAGGATCAAATCAAGGATATGACTGTCACATCTCTGATTAAAACCTCTGAATAGATGAAAGTGGTACCTGGTGAATCCAGCTGGACAAAATAGTACAAATCTTCCCATGACAAAGCCTGATTGGCTCAATGTACCTATAAGAAAGAAAGAAAATAGAAAGTGGTGTCTCAGAAAGTACATAGCTATGAGTATGGCACAAGGAGACTTGAATCAAATATACAGAAGAAGCTGACTAAATGTTTTGGAGAGATGCCAAAATATCTGTCAGAGCTAAAGGAAACTATTAATAGACTTGAAGTGATGCTGGGGCCTCAACCTTTGGTGACCAGGAAGTAGGCTGAGAAAACTGCTCAAACTCCAAGGAGAACATGTTCTCCAATGCTTACTTAAGATCAGGACAAGGGGGATTGTGGAAAAGAACCCCTCTAGAACTGTAGAAGGTGGAGCTAAGGACCACACAAAACAATGCATTGTGTGTGTGTGTGTGTGTGTGTGTGTGTGTGTGTGTGTGTGTGTTGGGGGCAGGTTACCATGGATTAAATTGGGGCCCAATCAAGGAACATTCCTACCCTAGTGGAGAGAACCCTTGCAATGTCTGCCTGGCAGGTTTCCAGAAGTGCCACAGGCCAAGGACTGCTGTCTGTATCCTAGTCTTTCCCTTTTCGTATGTTTGTTGTGCTTATCCTGGGTGAATTCTCTTAGCATAATTAAGGACCTGTATTAACCAAGATTTAGACTTGAGTAGATAGTCACTTCATCTTTGCATGGTAATGGGCTAAGACAGCATCTGCAAGCAGAGTCTAAATAGTCTTCACACCAAAAGAATTTTGAGGTCTGTTTTAAAATGCTGACTGAAAATATGATCTTATTTTTGTTTTTGCTTTTTTAGTCAGAATTTCACTCTGTTGCCTAGGCTGGAGTGCAGTGGCACGCTCACGACCACAGCAGCCTCAACCTGCTGGGCTCATGCAATCCCATCACCTCAGCCTTCCAAGTAGCTGGAACTACAAGTGTATGCCACCACACTCGGCTAAGTTTTTGATTTATTGTAGAGATGAGGTCTTGCCAAATTGCCCAAACTGGTCTCGAACCCGCGGGCTCAGGCAATCCTCTCGCCTCTGCCTCCTAAAGTGCTGGGATTAGAGGTGTGAGCCACTGCACCCAGCTTGAAAGAATGATCTTAAAAATGGCTGTGATGGCTGGGTGTGGTGGCTCATCCTGTAATCCTAGCACTTTGAGAAGCTGAGGTGAGAGGACTGCCTGAGCCCGGGGTTTCGAGACCAGTCTGGGTAACTTGGCGAGACCTCATCTCTACAATTAATCACAAAAACTAACT